AATACTTTGTGTATAATTCATGCAATAGCTGATTTATTGAGATAGTTGCTACCCTTGTGGGAAGCGGAGTATTGTTACTAAACTGTTTAGGTACCAGTGCTGTTACTTGTGTAGACTAGCTACAATTTGGGTGATAGCATTGGTCACTAGAGGGAGCCCTTTCATCTATTTGAGATTACTTGTATGGAGTATTGGAGTTTTCTTATATTCATGTCAGAATTGATATGAATGTAATAGTGTTATTATTGAATACCGTTATGTTGTGTTATTGTTAATAAGACGGTTGGCATATTTGCCTTTGAATATACTTTGGTGTACTGTGTAGTTGCTGAACAACTTTGATCACTATCGACTGAGTGAAGACTTGTGTGTCTGCTTGTTGTAAACGCTATCCCAATGCGATTTTTGATGATAAATTTTATTCTGGAACCCCCCTGGATCACATGACTGTAACCAGACAGATGTGACATAAGGAAGTAAGAAATAAATGAATACAATAAGTATACATAGAATGAATGAATGGGCGTAAACTGGATGCTCGCGTTTTTCTTTCTTCCGCATACACGAAATTATCATTCAGTGATAACGCCCTCACACACATTATTTTAAAATATACATACTATTTTAACATACACGCAATCATTCCATAAAATTATTTACAATGACTATGGAATCCTTCCGTATTTACAATGACTATGAAATCCTTCCATATTTACAATGACTATGAAATCCTTTCATATTTACAATGACTATGGAATCCTTCCATATTTACAATGACTATGGAATCCTTCCATATTCACAATGACTATGGAATCCTTCCATATTTACAATGACTATGAAATCCTTCCATATTTACAAGGACTATGAAATCCTTTCATATTTACAATGACAATGGAATCCTTCCATATTTACACTGACTATGGAATCCTTCCATATTTACACTGACTATGGAATCCTTTCGTATTTACAATGACTATGAAATCCTTCCATATTTACAATGACTATGAAATCCTTCCATATTTACAATGACTATGGAATTCTTTCATATTTACAATCCTCGGGGGCAGAGCTACGTCACGGACGTTCTACGTTGCTAAGACGCGCACCACTGTACCACGTATTTCTATGGGCTTTGTGCGTGCTGCTGTGGAACGCCAGTGGAGCCGGTGAAAACTCGAGAAAACAACACAAACTCAACTTCGAAGTAATCCTGAACAACCAAATTCATATATGTTACACACGTAGGGCTAATCTTGTTACACTGTTCAGGGGACTCTCAACAACCATAGCAAAGTACCGTTTTCTGTGAGTTTTTGGTCTTTGTTTTCACCGCGAAGGTTGCCAGGCGGTAGAAAATACCCGGATGTCCGCCCCCGAGGATAACTATGGAATCCTTCCATATTTACATTGACTATGGAATCGTTCCATATTTACAATGACTATGGAATCATTCCATATTTACAATGATTATGAAATCCTTCCATGTTTACAAGGACTACAAAATCCTTTCATATTTACAATGACTATGGAATCCTTCCGTATTTACACTGACTATGGAATCCTTCCATATTTACACTGACTATGGAATCCTTTCGTATTTACAATGACTATGAAATCCTTCCATATTTACAATGACTATGGAATCCTTCCATATTTACAATGACTGTGAAATCCTTCCATATTTACAATGACTATGGAATCCTTTCATATTTACATTGACTATGGAATCCTTCCACATTTACAATGACTATGGAATCATTCCATATTTACAATGACTATGAAATCGTTCCATATTTACAATGACTATGAAATCCTTCCATATTTACAATGACTATGAAATCCTTCCATATTTACAATGACTATGGAATCCTTTCTTATTTACAATGACTACGAAATCCTTCCATATTTACAATGACTATGGAATCCTTTCATATTTACAATAACTATGGAATCCTTCCATATTTACACTGACTATGAAATCATTTCATATTTACAATGACTATGGAATCCTTTCATATTTACATTGACTATGGAATCCTTCCACATTTACAATGACTATGGAATCATTCCATATTTACAATGACTATGAAATCGTTCCATATTTACAATGACTATGAAATCCTTCCATATTTACAATGACTATGAAATCCTTCCATATTTACAATGACTATGGAATCCTTTCTTATTTACAATGACTACGAAATCCTTCCATATTTACAATGACTATGGAATCCTTTCATATTTACAATAACTATGGAATCCTTCCATATTTACACTGACTATGAAATCATTTCATATTTACAATGACTATGGAATCCTTTCATATTTACATTAACTATGGAATCCTTCCATATTTACACTGACTATGAAATCCTTTCATATTTACAATGACTATGGAATCCTTTCATATTTACAATGACTATGAAATCCTTCCATATTTACAATGACTACGAAATCCTTTCATATTTACAATAACTATGGAATCCTTCCATATTTACAATGACTACGGAATTCTTTCATATTTACAATAACTATGGAATCCTTCCATATTTACACTGACTATGGAATCCTTTCATATTTACAATGACTATGGAATCCTTTCATATTTACAATGACTGTGAAATACTTCCATATTTACAATGACTATGGAATCCTTTCATATTTACAATGACTATGAAATCATTCCATATTTACAATGACTATGAAATCCTTCCATATTTACAATGACTATGAAATCCTTTCATATTTGCAAAGACTACGAAATCCTTCCATATTTACAACGACCATGGAATCCTTCCATATTTACAAAGAGTATGAAATCCTTCCATATTTACAAGGACTACGAAATCCTTCCATATTTATAAGGACTTTGAAATCCTTTCAC